TCAGTCTCTATATATCAATATCTATATCGCTATCAGTCTATTTTTCTATCATCTATTGATTTGTTTCTCTGGAGAACCCTGACTAATACACTGGCCAAATGATAAAAGCAAAAGTCATTTCTTCAGATTTTGCTTTGGCAAGGGAGTTAGTCACCATGACTTGCATTTGGCAGAGAACCCAATAGAGGCAGAGGAGAGAGAGAGCTTTAGAGCAGAAAAAAGAAAAGACTTCAGATCTGCCCTGACTGGCATGGGAAAGCTGTAAGCTTATTAACTAGAAGCAGAACAACCTATGTGATTGGTTAGGGGGCATACTTTGCTTTCGCTGGTTGGTCCCAAGTTAGAAGTGGAGACAAAAATGAGGGAAGTTGTCAGTGATCAATCAAGTCCTGGCCATTTTGGGCCATTTATTACAGAAGTGATTGTTTAGCTTTCTGAATGATTATCAGAACTAGCAATCTGACCTCCTGCAAGTCTGACATACCCAGATAGTTGGCTGGCTCCTGTGTTGCTTACTGCAGATAAGGGAATTGGTTTCCTGGGCAGGTTGTTGCCTTGGTGGGTCAGCGTTCGATTTTTATATATGGTCTAGCCATTGTCCATTTTTATATTCAGTCTCTCATCTTTTAGACAAAGACAGACAACATCTCTGGGCAGCTGACCTGTAGCTGGCAAGGTAATTCCCAGCATTTCTTTTTTTTTTCTTTTTTTTTGAGTCAGTCTCACCCCGTCGCCCAGGTTGGAATGCAGAGGCATGCTCACGGCCACCGTAGCCTTGACCTGCTGGGCTCCAGCGATCCTTTCATCTCAACTTTCCAATTAGCCAGAACTACAGATGCACACTACCACGCCCAGCTAATTTTTTATTTATTGTAGAGCTAAGGTCTCGCCAAGTTGCCCAGGCTGTTCTCGAACCCCTGGGCTCAAGTAATCCTCTCACCTCGGCCTCCCAAAGTGCTGAGATTACAGTCTTGAGCCACCGCGCCCGACAATTCCCAGCATTTCTTTTTATTTTTTTATTTTTTTAGTTGGAGTCTCACTCTATCGCCCAGACTGGAGTGCAGTGGCCACTCCCGGCCACCGCAGCCTCGACCTG